TATACTAAATTATCTAATACATGTTTAGGATATACTATACATTTTTTAATAGAACTTTCAAAAGTCTGTGTAGAAATAGTCGTCATACAATGTTGAAGATATTACTCAGACAAGACTGAAGGATAATAATTACAAATGGTCATATCATGTTCAAGATATTACACAAAAATACTTTAGAGCATAATATTTAGAAATGGTCATACATACTGAAGATATTTTATCTGGACATATCTCTATAATAGAATAAATTTGACACGGAAAGTGTAGAATATTATATGAAATTGTTTCATACAATGTTGAAGATTCTATATAGAAACGCTTCTAAAATAATGAATACATTATATATAAAATACTGAAGAAAGCTGTTTGTGGCCATGTTACATCGAGAACACCAGGTAGAGACTGGGGAACATGACAGAACTAAATTTGCAATATTGAGGATCTATTCAATCAGCTAGGTAGGTAGGTAGGTTCGGATCGTATAATTCTTTTCATAGAAATTTGAAGATTCTGAATGGCAACACTTTTAATATAGGGAAGACATATTTAACTGTTTGGGGTTTTTTGTTTTTTTCAAATACTGATGATAAAGCTGGCAATGAGCCCTTGAGGAGACACTATGCAGCTAGGAACATTACAGAATTACATTTACAATACTACTGATATAATACACAACTAGCTAAAGGATCTGTATTATTAATACAGATACATAAGATACATCATAAGAATGATTGTGCACTTGTGTCCCTGTATCAGAACAGCCCCGGGCATACCCCAATTGGCCGGATCACTGCCCCAGAGGCACATATCAGTGTTCTATGGAATATGTTGTTGTTATGTGCTGCATTGAAAGCCAATGTGAGCTGCTGTGTGCCTGTCACAGAGGATACCCCATCCCACGCCTGCTCTCACTAACCTACCTCATTAAGCTCCAGCTTTCACTGGATGGCAATATAACTCCCTCATCGTGTAATGATGATGGACATGAACTACTCAGTGTCAGGTCAGATAGCAAACATATAATTAAATGATTATTACAATCAACCATCCTATCAGCCTACAGGCTGGGGCTGGGTGGCTATTATTAGCACAGCTACATATACATAACGTTAAAAAAAATGGCAATGCTTCTCTAGGCAGACATTCATGTATTATATTATTTCATCCAAGGCCCGGATATCACTATCGTTTTACAATCTGACTCCTATTACTTTATGCCATCATTTAGTGCCTATTAATTATATAAACTAGCAGATCGTTACTGGTAAAGAGTTATGACAGATCTCTGCAATAAAAATATTTAAGTGGCTTATAAAGTTAATCAAGGGTGGAAATATTAATAAGGAAAGATTCGGGGATGGTTGATATTTTAGCCAAGGTATAATTACAGTTCTTAGTCCAAGATTCACATTATCAGTTGAATTCACCATTTAATTTTGTGTGTTGTAACATTAGTTTTTAATATTGTGCCACGACTGTACAAAATCCTAAAGAACCCGATTAAATTAAAACGGACTTAGATGGCATTCACATTAAGATAAGATTTAGGTATCTGGGATTTTCAACATTTAACAGAAAAATGTTTTTTAACATTTCTACAATCAGTTTATAACTTTTAAAAGTGAAGTAGTTTAATTTAAAATCGCCAGATAACATGCAAATGTGTCAAATAAATGCAAATGAAAAAATAAAAGATACCTAAAGATAACATTCATCTGCAAATACTAATATTTTCACTAGTTGTGTGATGATAATAATACATTTTTTTAATTATTATATTAAGTATAACTTACACCATTATGGTGAACATACAACCGTGACTATGTAGAAATTATAATATACATGCATTTAATGCTATAGTCTTCACTTATACAAATATACTATTTTCTCTGTGACAGATACTATGTACTATATCATTTCATAAACAAGATTGGGGTTGACCAAACTCTCCCGAGTAGATTTTATTGTATGTATTATAATACATACACATACATGTATATACATATGTCTGTTTATTTGAAAGAGGGGTATTGCAGTATCTGATGACACACAAGTATTTGTAAACACACGTGAGTACACAATAACACACTATACACTACAGGGACTAAACTGCAGATATAGAAGATCGCTGACAATGATTTTATTATGTGTTACATTGTAGTAATGTGCTCAGCTGCAATTTATGGGATAGAATTCAGCATTATCAGATGGCCAATGTACTGTGCAAATATTGTATTCTTCCTGTTTATGGTCATAATTCAGTATTCCATTGAAAATAATAATAATAATAATAATAATAAGTAGAAGAAGAAAAATTACAATAATAATAATAATAAGTATTATTATTATTTCATTATTATTATTATTTGTATTATTATTATTATCATCATCATTATATACAATCATTATTCACACACACACACACACACACACACACACACAAACCCATAGATATACCAATAGGTTTGAAAATGTATGCTTACGTGATTATTTGTGTATATACTGTATATATGATAGATTTTTACTAACTAGTTGAACATGTGTCTTTCCTAAATGTGTTACAAATCCAGGCTTATTAGTAAATCAGCGCAGACAGCAATGGTAAATTGCATTTAGATTTCAGATTTCAGTTCATGATAGGGCAAATTATAAAATGGTGTGTGTGTGTTTTTGTATGTTATCCTAATGGCCAAAACGAATCAAGAGTAAGAAAACTTTCTGAGACAGCACTGTCAGATTTATATTATATATATATATACACACACACACACACACACACAGTATATGGTACATTATTTTAGCAAACTCATGATTGAATGTAGAGCAATCTAACATTAACTTGAAGAAAGATTGCTGATTCTTTAGCTTTAACAGGAGGCATATTCTCTACCTAGGTATAAATATTGCTATTGCTTGATAGGATATGCTGGGACTTGTAGTTCTACCACATATGTAAAGCCTCTGTAAATTATATGGGTTCTATAACTAATTGCTTAAGAAAACATCTTAGAATATATTTGTCCTGAGTCACTGAAATGTCCAATCACCAATAGCAACCAACTAGAAATAATTGTTCCTGAGTTTAGAATAGACATGAGAACAGTTACAGTTGATTTCTGTTTGGCCGACATTTTCGGTCCTTTGCCTGTTTGTCATTTCCTATGAACACATTTGAATTTGGTGAAGTTGGCTCAGACAGATAGTTCTATAGATCGAATCGCTCGGCTCTGTCAGATGGCTTCATACACATGCAGCGTTTGATCGGGAGCTGTAGCCTAGACATTTATACGTTTGTATATCTGTTGTTTTTTAAGGGAGAATAACGAAAACTCCAATTCCAACAGTCACAACCCGTTATCGTCTTCTATGAACGGTGGGAAAACGCTCCTGGGAAGTTCAGACGACGACAAAACGCCCTCCGGCACCCCCGACCACAACTCATCGAGTCCAGCCTTACTGCTGAGTTCCAACCCGGGGCTCCAGGCTCTCCATGGCATGGGCCACCCGCAGGGCCCCAGCGCCATCCCTGTGCCAGGAGCGGATTCTATGCACCACCACACTTTGCAAGACTCAATCCTCAACCCAATGTCGTCCAACCTGGTGGATCTGGGCTCTTAAGACTGGATAAAGTCCAACCAGGACTAGGGGGAGAGGTGACTTCACCAAACTTTCCATGGCTACTCCATCCTCCCATGGGACTGAAGGTAGAGTGCCTCCAGTGGTGACCTTCTCACCTGTCCTAAATCTCTAAACTCTCACCTTTAAATTATAATTCCAGCCTTGTAACCTAAGAGCCGCTGGCTGTCTCACTAGAGCTCATCAGTGATTCCCACCTGGCACCAAGCGGTCCTCCCTCCTCTACTGCTGCTGCGAGCCTCCAGGATCTATAAACGTCGGTCTATTGGAACTAGGACTGCGCCTCTGATCGCCTCTGTTGTTATCTCTGCCTCTGTGGACACTTCCTCCATATCTTCCCAGACTCTAGCTCTGCATTGCAGGTGTCCAGGACAAGGTCATAATCCAGGGTATTTAATCAAATCTTGTCGCAGGACCTGCTCGTCTGTATTCCCTAAATCAAAGCACTTTCCATTATCCTCTAAATGACATTATCAGACCCCTTTTAAAAGTTTTGGATCAGGTCAGTTGACTTTTTTTTTGTTCTATGTTTATATGATGTGAATAAAACATTCAGAAATATCCCTGCTTTTATTTTATAATAAAAATAGGAATATTAAAAGCACCCCCGAGCACGGAGCGTTTAATTTGATTGTTGTTTTATCACAATATACAAATGTGTGATGAATGCAGAAAGATGGGGAACCCCCAGCAGCATTCCAGCCACTATACCAATCATTGATTCCGAAATATATATTATTAAAAGTGACGCTGGGCAGTTGTTTGCATAGATCGAAAGCAAGGGAGGTGGAATTTTATAGAAAGATTAAAACGATGGGTAGAAAGATGATACAGAGAGAGATAGATAGATAGATAGATAGATAGATAGATAGATAGATAGATAGATAGATAGATAGATAGATAGATAGATAGAATGTATGATAGATAGATAGATAGATAGATAGATAGATAGATAGATAGATAGATAGATAGAATGATAAAAAATATAGATAGATAGATAGATAGATAGATAGATAGATAGATAGATAGATAGAATGATAAAAAAAATATAGATAGATAGATAGATAGATATCATATAAAATAGGTAGATTTCATATTTAAATTAGAAGTGACACATTGGGCTGATTTACTGAAGGAGTTGAAAATCTTCATGCAAATTATGTGAGTATTCACTTCAATTATCGAATCATATGCAGATGAAGGCAGTAAACAGGAATATGCTATTCACAGGATTGGATAAGTTAATTGTGTGAAGATTTTCAACTCCTTTGAAAATTCAGGCTAATATAAATCTTGACTTATATCCCAAGGCAGGGAGGATGAAATGACTCTATAGCAGCAGGTATCCAACATATATAATGAGTATATCAAAGATGGACAGACAGATAGATAGATAGATAGATAGATAGATAGATAGATAGATAGATAGATAGAAGGCCATCTCAGTTTATAGTCATAGAGGAGGGAACCTTTCAGTATAAGATGTATCTCTCCTGATTTATTGATTACACACAGACAGACATCACTCTCTCGCCTTCCTCATTCTGTACAGCACAGTGTACATCTATAGTGTATACACATGACCTGGTGCTGTACACAGACCCACAAACACACCTTCCCTATTCTCTATAAAATTACTCTGTGTGTGTGTCTTCAGAGGCTGGTGTGAGAGAAGTGTGCTGCTAACATGGAATTGGTTTGTTACACACAGCAACCAGCCTCCAGCTCCCATTTCTGGGCTCCTGCTTTGAAGTGAAAAGACAAAGAGGTTGCGCTACTAAATAAGTCGAGACAGGTAACACAATACGTTCTGTGAATATTCACTTCAAGTGAACAGAAGTTTGCTTTTCATATGATTGGATAACTAAAATGAATATTCGCACAATGCATTGTGTCAATGTTCTAAACTCCTTTAGTAAATCGGCCCAACAGACTCTGAGAAGTTGCTATGGGTAACGAGAACTGTTCTTACATAGGTCTGACAGCGAAGTGATATCAAATCTTTGGTGCCCATTTAATAAAACAGGAAAGGGAAATAGTCACAAAACAGGTTTTATTTGCACAAAGCAATTTTGTTTGTGAATGTTAATAAAACAACAACGGTCCTTTGGAGTAGTAACTCAATTTTCGCGGACTTCATTAGTTCCAGTGATAATAAGGTCCGTGCCTTCATTTTTAATTCAGAATTCTCGGTTTTCAGTATAATATAATATTATATATCAAAATAAATGTGCATTATCACTGAAACTGGTAGACTGTAAAGATGAACTAAAGCAGAGTATGCCGGAGCTTTCTGTGTGTGAGACCAGGAATGTTGAGACAGACTTCTAGTTCCACAATGGAGAACCAAGCCTCATACTTGTACTGCGCTAGCTGTGACACTCCGGGTTGTGTGTGTCCAAGTCTCAGCGTCTCCTGGACCTTGTGGCTGGCTTGTGTCTTTGGTTTAGCTTCAGTAGCCATGGCTGTAGGTGAATGAGGTTGTCAAACATCTACGTGCTCACAAACAGAACGGTTTGAATGGGTGTTTGCTTTGTCCTCCACTGCACTTGCTGGCAAATAAAACCAGATTTACCGGCAAATCGCAGACTAATTCCTGTTCAGCCTTTGTAATTACAGCGATTTATATTTGTTAATGAAACGTGAAGGGAGTCTTCCTGTACCCACGGGCGAAAAACTCTGCATCCTAATAGACACAAGTGTGTTGCCAGTGCGAATGTTGCAGTGCAGGACAAGGGTGCTTTGTAATCAGGTCATACTTGTCATGATCCACAGAGGGGCTTTCTGTCTCCTCCAGTTTACTGCTACTCAGAACTGTATCATCATCCGATCTGAAACAGGTCACAGATGGAAGTTTAACACTATAGTGTCCCTAAAACTTAAATTAGGCAAAGAAGGTCATTTACTAAAGGAGTTGAAACTCTTTGCACAATAATTGGTGTGAATCCACTCACCCATCAGACAATATGGAAACAACACTGCCAAGAACAGGAAATTTTGCATGTGCCATTATGCACGCATTCCTGTTGTGTACATCTCAGGGTGGTAAAAATACACATACAATAGTAAAAAAAAGAGCAAAAAAATAAAATAAAATAAATAATAGATGAATTTTCTTTGATGTGTTGCTAGGTTTGCTTTATTAAAAATTCATTTTTGTTATATATTCAGGAACAATTTTCCTCAAATTGTTTTATTTCCTTTTCCGTACTTTCACTGAAACAATCAACTTCTATCCTCCTTACAGAGCAATCTTAAATACTACAGAAAACAAAAAACATTTTATTTTTGTATACAATTGTACCGAGAAATGGAAACATTAAAGCACTGTGCAAACTGTTGGCGCTATATAAATACTGTATAATAATAATAATATTGTTGTATAGTGATTGCTGAAAATGCCCAGAGTGAAATATTTTGCTAGGATTATACATTTAATGTAAAATATAAAGGGTTGGTTATCCTCCTGTACCCAGTATAGTAATACAGTCAGTTAATGTCCCTACAGTACATGCATGCCGATACACATGTGCCTACATATTTGAATGTGTATAATATAAGTGGGACAGATGAGAGAATACATGCAACACAATGCAATAGAAAGAAACAGAACAATAGAAAATAGAACAAAACATACTCAGGAATCATAAAAAAAAAGTAACTTACTCATAAATTCTTTGTTAGCCAAAATATGTATGCATGTATAAAGTTTGATTTAATTAGCAATTCAATGTATAGAATGCAGCAACCCATAGCAACCACTTAGTTTTAGTTTAACAAAGTCTGACCAGTGACAAAATAATTCTGATTGTATGCTATGGGTACCGGCACTCACATTTTATGTTCTCTCTATACCCAGTGCTATGATTATGTGAAAAGTGCAGTAACCCATGGCAACCAAATTTCATTGGTTGTTTTGGGTTAAATCAATTTAGAACATTTAATTAGTGTAGTAAATAGGCATGTGTTTTGCTGAATCAAATATGAGTTGTTGCTGTTTTACAAATGAGGTTTGTAGCATTTACATACATACAAACTGCCTGGGCAGTTTTTTGTATTTTCGATGGGGAATGCCTTGTAATACTATCTATTTCCAGGACAATTTGCTAATTCGAAACCAAGGTGGGCGTAATAAAGTTAGCCATAGTCACTAAAGAGCAGTCAGATGTTATAAAACAATAACCAATTGTCCTCACAACTGTGGTTATATACGGTGTTATGGTTATATCATAACAGAAGGCATACGGTGTGACCATTGGCTCCAGTGCTAAATTCCGCCTTGACAAAGGGGAATAATAGACTATTGGCCATAATATTCTATCCTGGAAAAAAGCATCTCCACTGACAGTTTTGGCCTAAGCATATCCAATGATACTGTAAAGATATTGCCATTGCTGACCAAATACAACAACATTGTAAGCATCAGAGAACAGATATTCAGAGGGCTTAGAAAAGAGACTTACAGGGTTCTTAACAAAAGGGTGAAGAGTTTGGAGAAGGGAGGAGAAGTGAACAACATCACTGAACTGGAAAGTGAGCTGAATTGGAGAATCTTTCCAAATCAGCTACGTTGTCCTAGATTCTTCACTTCTCCTGCCTTCTCCAAACTCTTCACTCTTTAGTGAATAACCTTGTAAAACTGCTTCACTTGAAATACCAAATCAGCCTAAAGCAGATATGACAAACTGTGATGAAGCTTAGGGGTCTATTCACAAAACTGCCGTAGGCAGCCGAGTGAATAACCGACCCGAAGTGAAGTGAGCCGAACGCTGTTCGTCTATTCACTTCAGGCTGGTACGGCTGAAATCAGCCGTATATCGGCTTGCTTCGGCTGGCTTTGGGTCGGTCGAACATGCTCAGCATGCTCGACCCGAAGTGCAGAAGGAGTTTGACTCAGCCGATCCAACATCTGGATCGGCTAAGCCGAACCTCCGGCAGGCTACTCGCTGCTGTTCGGCCTACTCTTATAGATGCCGAACTGCAGTGAGTGAATAGCCAAATGACGCAGAGCGGCATTTGGCTCGGCTA